CTATCCCTGTAAACAGGTGGAAAAAAGGTATCAAGGTTTTTACTAACCATCCGATTTTGTTGCTAATGTCCAGAAAATTGCTTTTGAAGCCTTTAAGACTTATGAAATGATGAGTCAGGAATGACAATTTTATTTTTAAAATTATGTTGTAATTTATTTAATAGGAACATCATCGATAATGGAACTGGCACTTTTATTCTACAACCTGTCCAATGGAGAAGCAACTAAATGTTTAATATCAAGCCCTGTTATTACTTAATAGTTAATTAATTCCAAGCGAAAATAAAGTATACAATATTTGTACAATTTGATAACAGAAAATTAATAATTTTTTACTGTTAAAAAACAAGGACAAATTATTAAATTTAAATGTCAACAATCTTTGAAAAGGAGTTATCTATTTCACATTTCACATCTATTTAGCAATAAATTGTAAATATTTTTATTTCTATTGCCAGTGCATTTTCTGCTCAAATAAAAACATTTCTGTGCTGGTGTAATAAAGTTTCTTATCTATAGTATAGTATACTTAACTTATTTCACAGTTTGCATACGAGTATGTAAGACTGTTTTAAAGAGGAAGCAATACTAAAGCAATAGTCTGTTTCAGTAAAGCAATTTGATGTGTATTGTAAATCACTGTTACCTAAATTTACCATATTTACTATTTACCATTATATAAAGTTCAATGAAAAAATAGATCAGAAGTTAAGAATGAGCAATTGAAGTTATTTTATATCCAAATACACATATATAAGCATGCTATGTAATAGTTTGCTATAAAGGTATAGTCAAATCCTGTTGTACAATGTGGCATATACAAGTAAGTACCTTTTTACTACCGTATATCACCCTCTTATTGTAGGATAAACAATCTCTTATTCAAGTCCCCAGATCTTCGATCGATTTAAAGAGCAGTGGTCATCGCACCACATCCTGTCTGATATGGAATTCATAGCATGGGCTGCCTGACGACCACATTTTTTACTTGTTATATAGTAGTTTGGGCTTCATTGTTTATGTGTGGGCCTTTTGTATTAATGTTATTGTAAAATTTGTATCAGAAGCCGCATCCCTAATAGAAGTCGCACACATTCATTTTGAACAATTGATACCAAAAAACTGTGATTTCTCATATGTGTAGATATGTAATAGAAGCCGCATCCTATGTTGCATTGTACCATTTTAATAGAAGCCGCAGCTTCAAATACAGATTTTACAGTAATACTAATAGGCATAATTGTATAAAAAAAAATAAAAAAGCTATTTTTGCTATAACACTATGAGGTTGGGTATAGTGTTTGGTATAGAATGTATCAAATAAATCTCCTTTTGAATAATTCAAAAGAAATTGCTAATTGCAATCCAGAAATTAATTCTCCATTCTATTCTTTCAAAAGTAAATTTAGCATCAGGCTTGCGCGTCTCTACAGTCATGTACCGGTACATAAGAAATAAAACTACTTTACATAATAATAATAATAATAATATAACAAATAATTCTACAAATAAAGTGTTTCTTTGTATTTTGCTGTTGCGCTAATGTTACGTTTCATTATTAAAATAAGATTTTTGGAGCCATAATTCCTGGGAATCTGCATCTCCAGGTGCATCTTCGGCTTGTATTCACAAATTTAAGCAAATACTTTTGATTCAGACTCATTTACAATCAATGGAAAATGGACTAGTTACACTTTGAGATCATATTATATCATATTATTTTGCGAATGATTCCCAAAATTGACTCTGGTGCTCAAAGGGTTAAAAACCTAAGACAAAGCTATCAATGAACACAAAGTTATACAATCCTATATTCAAGTGGCAAAGTTCCTGTTGTTTTCGGTAGAAATGTGATAATAAAATCCAGTGAATATACTTTTTTCCTATATTTTACATTCAATTCATCAAAAATCAGTGAAAATAAATTTCATACAAAACACCCAAAAATCTTTTCAGCGAAAATTGATTCCTACTAAAATAAAGTATTTTACTGTTTTTAATTAATGTTGGTATTCTTGGTATCTCTGACATCTTGGTATTTTAAGGATGTACTGGTATTAGGGCTTTTCAAGAAGTAAAATTCATACTAACTATTTTTTTGGAAAATATCAAACCATGTCACATTTTTTTATGAAAGCCCATAGTTTATACTAATGTATAGCTCCATGTTATGAGCTACGTTTAAGACACTTAGGGGATCCTTTGCCGTTTTAATCAATCATATCATAGTAGGATGGGCTATGGATGACAGGAGCCAGTAGCAAGGATAGTAATTATCACAGACTGGCCAATCAGAATGAAACCGCGTATATTTGGATTTACTGGTCAGTTTTGCAAATTTTGTTTGAGAGGCTACATCTCTGCCTGCTGCTTGCTCCCACCCTCCCATCTCTGTATACATCTTGATCCCTGCACTACAACAGCAGTTTAGATATTTACCGGTAGCTTTATTTATTTGTTATATGCATGCATCTTAATATTTATTTTATTTATAAGAAGTTCAGACTATTTATTTTATCTATGGGAAAATTTATATTAATAAGTTTATTTACACATTATTGACTACTTGATATGTATACAGGGTATTTCATTACATGTAAAACATATCCAGGAAAAGATCAGTTTACAGTTGTTTTCTTTTTGCATATTTACATGTCAGACCGTTAAGAGAAGGCCTGATAAGTCAAATTTACTTTGGTTTGTTTATTTGTTACATAGTAATATATTTTTTTACTGTATTAATAGTTTGTAGTGTTAGGGGAGGGGGGGGGGTATATTCATTCCTACCACTAGGGTAGGAAGAAGAGTTGAATAAAGTCACCCCCTAGGGTAGTTTAAATCCCAACCTTGTGTTCTATATGCTGTTGGTATGTGTGGAGGACTAAGTACGTTAATTAAAAATAAATGGTGCATTATATGCAACCTCGTGTGGTCATGTGACTTCTAAGTAAATAAATCCTATAGTGAAGATTCAAATGAGTACTGTGAAGAAATTATTAAAAAGGGATACAACAATTTTGTAGAATGTAGAATAAAACATATCTTCAAATGTTGTTTGTTTTTATATTCAGATAGCTAAATCTTTAGAATGTGTAAATTTAACAATTATCGCTGATGAAGTTTTGTTCATACAAGTATATACCACATGTACAATCTTGGGAAAAAAGTGAAATATTCTGATGAGAGTGCTCACCGAGTACCCATAGTACTCTTTTTGATTGACCAATTATGAACAATGATGTACTCTAATAGATGAATAGTAAGGTTCCTCTATTGATATGATCATAAAATCTTCTGTGACCAATGGCAGGACCTATAACTTAGACCTGCCTGGACGGATTATATTCAAACTTCATACATACATCATACATAATATTATACATATGCACATCAATTTTTTTCACGATCTTATTCAAGATAGCTGAATGGCAGCCATTTTTGTGCTGAAAAAATCATCAGAAATCCAGCATTTCTGGCATTCCGGGACCGGATCTAGGTCATTTATGGTTTTCATTCAAACTTGGAAACATACAATAAACATTATGGGTCCCTGATGCACATCATTTTGTTTTTCAGATCAGATTAAAATGGCCGACTGTTGGCCATTTTGTTTTAATGAATGTGGTATAGTGCCATATCTGTGACATGCTTTGACTGATTATGTTAAAATTTTATATATATATATATTATACATCATGTCATAGATGTACAGATGTATTGGTTTGATGATCAGATTCCAAAATGACCAAATGGTGGCCATTTTGTTTCAATTAATGCTGTTTTGAAGCAATATCTCTCAATATGGACAAGTACTCATTTGATGATCGGATACAAGATGACTGAATGTCTATCATTTTAATGTTAAAAAATCATCATAAAAGCATCAGCAGGTAGTACCAGGAGAACTTCTCAGATTTGTTCATTTCATGGGATATCTTTAAATTCTCTAATTTTGATAAATATTTTTGGTAAAATGTGATATTTTTGACTTCTTGTTAGAAACCGCAAGTCTGTTTGATTTGATATTATACATAAAGGTGATATCTTCAACAGTTGAGCTATCTCAGCCAAGAGGCTGCTTTTTTTAAATCATAGTTAGCAAATTAATATATTCGACCTCAGAAAGGCCCATGGTGAAAACTTCAAATGATAAAATGGCAAAATCTACAAATACACCAGTGCATTTTTGCACGATGGCACACAAATCTGTGTGAACAAAAATCTTTGGTGTGTTAATACTATATGGTTGTACTGTAGTATACGCAGTTGTTTTTTGTTTGTTTGTATACATAAGGCCATTCAAACAAGTTTGTTGTGGTAATCGTGCTGAATACGATTCACATCACAGAAATCCAGATTTGGGTTACAGTGTCAGAAATCCAGACTCGTCAACACTGGCATTTAGGTGGCTCAGGAATGCATTATTTTAATGACCAATTTCCATTGGAGAATAATATGAAGTTATTACACCTCAAAGTATGCATGAAGACAGTACAGTGGAAGTAATGACCGACGCACAGCGGAGGTCGATGCAGCAGCATACTGTCTGAGTGCATACTTTGAGGTATCCTCATAAGAATCTTATTATTATACATCTTTTCCTTCCAAGGGTACATCATGGGAATGCCGAAATCCAAAACGTTTAGAACAGAATCAGCAAACTTATTTGTGTGGAGTCTGGTCAAACCCTGGTGGAAGCCATGTTTGTTTTTATTAATAGAGAACGCTTACACGGGTAATCATTCCATATTTGGAATTCACATTTCCTTATATGGTAAGATGAAAATACCCTGTAAAATACCGCAAAATTACAGCACGCTGTAACTTATGGCGTTACGGTGACAAATGTATAATAATATGAAGTTATTATGAGGATTCCTCAAAGTATGCATGAAGACAGTACAGTGGAAGTAACGACCGACGCGCAGCGGAGGTCAATGCGATGGCGTACTATCTGAGTGACAGATGTATAATAATAATTTTTATTACTTCACCTACAGATGCCATTACCCCAGCTAGTACCACCTTCCTTGCTGTGAACTGCAGTGCAATGAGATGGGTTGCCTTCAAAGTCAACATGCACCTGCAGTCAGATATCAACCTGATAACCAGAATAATGCCAAGCCGAATACCGTTAATCTAAGAGCAGGCAATAATCTTAATCAAACCAATGTAAAGTCAGTTGCTTCACCAAACCAAGCTGCAATTAAAATTCCCAACTTTGATCAACCGCATGTAGAACAAGCCAGACAACAAAGTCAAGGTGAGTACTGTATACTGTAAAATGACTAATTTTCACTGGGTTTAAATTTCACTGATTTACCATTTCAGGCTTATTCAGTGGGTTTTAAATTCACGGTTTCGTCATTTAGATAATGTGTTCTATGCTAAATTTTACAGATTCACTGTGTTTTAATTTAGCGCATTTTTCCAGTCAGCGAAATAAGCTAAATTAAAACACAGTGAATAATTACCCCCTTTACAGTACTGTTTATATTTCATGACAAATTTTTGTAAATCAGTAAAAATGTTACTGGGGTCATATGACATGGATTGTCAGTGACAAAACTTAAGCGATTTACAGTATATGTAATAATACAGGAACAAGGGTCAAAAAACAAATCTTATAAGTTTAGTAGAGTCACTATTTTGTAAAGAAGTTTAAACAATAGTAATATTTTATTGCTTTTAGAAAATTGGAAAACAAAATATCAAATCTGTTTAATTTTTAGTACTTCAGTTAGGCAAAAAAACTTGTAAAATGGCAGCAGTTAGTCATGTATTGGCAAACTGTGTGCCTTGCTACTGTTAAATTTGAACTTTCAGAACTGTGTTTTCTGTGGCATCAGTTTCCTGGCCGTTGCCATCCTGAGACAAAATTTGTCATGCCTAAAAATTTGATGATATTCCACAATTTCTATGTGTATTTCTACAGTTTTTCATTATTGTGTTTGTGTTCTCTGTACTAGGTCCTGCTATTTATTTAGCTTTATATGACTATCAAGCAAGAATAGAAGACGACTTAACATTCCAGAAGGGTGAACATCTACAAATTATTAACAATAAGTAAATATTTCATAGTGAATTTCCTGTGAACTCCAGGCCAATTAACATTCAATGTACATTGTTGAGACTTTTAAATTTGTACTTTCACCAAATCTTAGTTGAAACCCCAATTTTAAGTCACAACATCAGATCTCAACCTGGCATTTTACACAGTTTATGGACAAAGTTATTTTATTTTCTTCACTGCAATAAATCTTGTCATGCATTGCTGTTCAAATTTTGCTTTGAGTATTTGCACAACTAACCCAGGAAGTATGTAATGTTTGAAGCTCGTCAGACATGGGTATTACAAGTAAAATAATCATCCTTTTCTATGAGTGTATTTTGATTGGTTGTTCTCTTTCCAACAGTGATGGTGATTGGTGGTTGGCCAAATCACTTTCCACACACAGAGAAGGTTATGTTCCAAGTAATTTCATAGCACCATTGCAGAGTATCACTGCAGAAGAGTAAGTTAATTTTCATAATACTTTACTCGTCCGACTTAGCGCCCAGGATTCTTAGTTCCATTTTTGATGTTTTTAGGGAGCACTTAGTCGAACACTCACACTGTGTTTGATCGTACACAAACTCTTGATGCAAAGAAATTTCCGGCATGTTTTCTTGTACCACCATGGTTACCATGGTTACCATGGTTTACATGCACATCTGACTATATCCACGATCAATATCTTGAGAAAAGATGTTATTTTTTTTTTGGTTTGACAATGTAACCATATTACCACCCTTGAAAAATTATTCAAATTACATCTTTCGTCCACCATGCCGGACTGGGAGGGGAATATTACGTCTTTTTGGGGAAAATAATTGCGAAATGAGTGATCATTGATTTCGACAACACTTTTGCAATGAAAAAACAAACATGTTCACACAAAAAATGTGCATTATCAGGAAGTATTTAACACCTTTCACGGTTGCTCATCATGTACTGTGAAATTACTGTACAAGCACAAACCAAACAGTTTTTGTCAGGGCCACTACACACCTCAAAAGGAGAAATACAGTGCTAATCATGATTTTTATGCAATGAAACACACTTTTTGCATGCATATTTTAATAAATGTTAACCCATTGTTAACGCCCGGTAAAAACCCCTTGGGCCTATAATCAGGGATGCCCTCAACTTGTTAAATGTCTAAAAAAAAGAGGTGGGCTTATACCCAGGGAGAGGCGTATGAAATATAGTATTTGGAAAAGTCAAACAGTGTTCAACGGCCAGGTTTATGATTCAACAGTCAAATTCACTACGTTCAATTACCCGTCATAGACTCCGGTCAGTCAAAATGACTATTTTGAACTATAAACATTAATCAGCGATTCTGCCAATGACAGAAAGATAGAAACTAGGTCAGGGGAAGCCCCATGACCCCGTAATTCTTTTCCCTTACGTCACGAACCACGTGGCCGAGGCCATATGGCAGCGCCATTACAGCCGGATAATTACTCTTTCTTTATCTCCGCATCGACGGGGATGAAGTCTAGCGGCTCTGCCTGGATAGCCTGCTTTTTCCTGTCAGGGTTTCTGCCTAAATTTGTGGCATTTTTAAGGGGATATACATGTATGGAAATAGAAATTCCCAAAATTTGAATGAGTATGTTATTCTATGAACATTCAGTCAAAGGATGGTTCAATTGTTGTCTAAATAAACAAACGCATTTCACCTATTGGCATA